GGCCGACGGGCTGAGCCTTGCTTCTCCCCCCTTGGGACGCCTGGGGTGAGACTCAAACTAAGCGCTTTTCTCGAGAATCTTAGAAATCTCTCTAGAGAATTACTCCCTAATGTTTATAGCCAGGCTGTATTATTTATAACCTTTTAACGCATTTTATACTTAATAACGTCATATTTGCCTGTGCTTTCTTGCAGACAGTCACTATCACCGGCAACTCAATTTGTTGGACAAATAAAACTGCACTGTTTAAGTAGCCAGTCGTCACAGTTTCTCACTGAACATGACCGAACCCTAGAGTGCCGCCGTGCCAGTTCATGAGCACGACTGGACGGAAGGTGCAGACCGCTATGGGTGTATCCAGAATCGTGGTAGTTAAATATACACATTAAACACGACTGGACTGGTAGTGGTAAATTGGATTTCACTCAGAACTTAAACCTAGCCGCACCTAGCCTCTCACTCCAGTGAGGAGAGTTAGAAAGCAAGGGGATTTATTTTCTGCCAAATTCCTCCATCCCTTATAACGCAACAGGTATCTACCACCTTTCTGGGCAACCCGTTCCAGTGTTTCACCACCCTCATTGTAAAATTCTTCCTTATATCTAAACTGAATCTACTGTCCTTTAGATTTTAGTGCTCCTTATCACCATATCATACAAACCCCATCACACAGCATCTGAGATACCAGCTGAGACAGCAGACAACTTACCACATAATTAAATACAGTTAAAGCCTTTTAATCTAAATAACAGAAAACACAGACAGGTGCAGTGTATTTGTTTATTGCACAGAAGATAGTAATGTGCACAGAAGTATCACCTAAACACTACATAGGAAATAACTGCAAACATAATGGTGCTTGAGACAGAATATTTCCAAAACTGCCCCTAGTGCACTTCATATGCTTTTCTAAATTCCTGTATGTGCTTTGCAGGCAAACTGTGTCCACCCATACATAAACACCCTCGCAGGACTCCTAACAGTCCACTCAAAGTTAATTGTCTTTCATTAAACTGATTTGTTCATGTTTGGCTATTGCAACAGATAAATATCAGTCTTACATGTAACAACTCACTGTTCATGTCCCATATCATGACAGAGAAGAATTTCATCAGAAGTAATTATTTTTGCTTTTAATGATCCCATTGCTAGCTGACCTCCACAATACAATCACATTTTCCTCATGCATAGTAGCTCTTTCTGTTTATCCAAGTGCTCTACACACATGTTTTTTCCAGTCTGTTAAAGTTAATGTTTCCCCTTCTTCCTAGATAAGCTGCTTAGGAACACATTTCCTGTTTAGAGAAAACAACAACCAGCACCAGTCACTTTCACCCTTATTTCTTCTGCTCCCCACCATTTTTTTGGCAAAGGATTCTCTGCAATAGCGAAATTAGCAGATTGAGATTGCTCTCATCTCACATCTCATGCACACACCACCGAAGAGCACCGGCTATCATTCACTCTACACAGTTTCCTCTCTATTACAAACAGGTTTGTTAGGCAAAATCTGTTCCAAGTTTCTTTCTCTACCATGGACTGCACGTAGCAGGAGCCAGCTGCCAGCAGTTGTATATCCAAAACATGGAGTCACAGCACAGAAGAAAAACTAGTGCAGAGTCATGATAAAGGTTCACAGGGTTTCTCTCTCTGTTGAAGTTTTTGAAACAGGAAAAAAAGATAGCAGGTAAGCCTTGGATACACAAATGCCAGGCAGAAACTGTTGTCTGTGTTAGTAAAAAAACAATATCCAACAGGTAGACCTGACACGAAAGTTAACAAAAGGTGACAATAATGTAATAATGAGTTGCATCTTAAAATGATATATATTATGAATTAATCTTCTGTTGTGATTTTTAGTTTAAATGCAAATGAACCCTGTCTAGTGTAAACCTGTATGAGCTTTAGTGGAATTATGTCAAACGTATAGACAACCATAACAAAGAGGTTCAGGTCTATCTAGCTTTCCCGAACAGCTTAATGAGGCCATGGAACAAAAGAGAAAGGCAAGCACGTTGCAAACCAATGAAAAAGCTACCCAACTACTACACAGGACACAGTGGCACAGACATGTGATATTCTCCAGTGAATATCTAAAATACATGACTGACTAAGCAACAGCTAGTATGTTGCCTAATACAGCAGCTGCTACGAATTTTTCCTCCAACACACTTTTCAAATATTCTACCATTGCACATCTGTACACAGTTATCACCACTGTCAAATAGACATCTGATACCTGGTAACTGCATTGTAGTGCTAAATTTTTAATATAATTCTTTCAAAATAAACCTCTAACCATAAAGAGGAATTTACTGTAAACCCAACAAATCTCTCAGTAAAAAGCATTACAGCATTAATTTGCATTGTTTGAACATAATTTCCCTTCAGTCAGTAGTTCATTGTATTGGTTTCAAGTGTTTTGTATTAAAATAGAAAATGTAAAAAAAGGAACAAGACTCATTAATCTCACATTCAACACATATCTGAAATAGATGAAAAATACAATAAATCCATACAGAAATGAGAGAAGAAATGGATGGAAAGTAATAATCTTCTCATAATCCAGATACTTTATGAACCATACTAATGAAATCCCACTGTGGAATATTGAGAGATCAGAAATAGTATACCTAAGGCTAAGCACCTTTATACTGAATAAACTTAAATTCTTAAAACATATTATGTGTTAATAGATCAGCTATTCTGCAGTACTTTTCACAAGAAATTATGACTATAGACGTCTTTCGTATTTTTTACGGAAACTGAGTCCCATTTGGAGAAGCAGGAGCAGGATATCTATGAATTATCAAACGGAGACTGACATTTTAGCCAGTATTCCCCAGTATCTACAGCTGCTTAAGGTTCTTTACTCCTCTTTATCAATGATAGTTTTGAGCAGTTTAGCATTTCATCTACCCAACGAGAAAAGCAATTCAATTTCTAAAACCAATGGATTAATGCTATTTCTTCACCAATAAGTTACCAGATATATTATCTTTACATTGCATCAAAAAATACACAATACTTGATACACTATAGGTGCAGCATGTGCCATTTCACAACTAGTGATTTTGCTTGCTTCTGACTGGAGCCAATGTCAAATCTGTGACCAAAAGGTTAAAAAACCCCATAATTATATTCACTACTACACATGATACTACTACTAGCAAAAGCAAGTTCTCTTTTGCTCTTTTTGTTATGCTTTCATAAATAAAAATTCTATCATGAAACAAAGATATTGTACAAAATTATATGTTTACAAAATCCTGTGTGAAATAAGAACCACCCTCCACCCTTCCCTCTAAGAAACATCTTCTATATGTTAGTATTTTTAATGCTTTTGATAGGTCTGACAAAATGACAGACATCAGTAAAAAATTCTCTTTAATCATGAAGAATCTTTCTAATTATTAAAATTATAAGAAAACAGAAATGTTCTTTCAGTACATGTATGCTAAGTTGGACTAGCACATCCTCACCAATTCCAGAAGTAAGACACACATAATAAGAAAACATTTGCCAACAGCAACACAAACAAGGCAGAAGTAGAAAATGATTGTATGAAACAATTTTTCTCAACACATAAATTAATGCAAAATGTATACAGGGAAATTATGGAGTTCTGTATTTAAGCTGGAATGAAAAATATGAAGGATTTATACCTTAACTACTTCTATTTGGAGAGAAATAAAAATGTCAAATATCCGCATCTTTTCTTAAACAGATTATCTCAATTTCCAATTGCAATGCATTTTCTTCACAGTGTTGCAGTTGGTGTTCGCCAGCCTTCACCAAAAGCAAGGCTGGATTGCTGCGTCAGAACATATGGGAGGAACTTCCACTGAACCACTGCAGGCTCCTTGTACAGACTTGGAGGAACTATGGACCACCGATGTTGCTCATGAACATTTACATTCTAGATCAGTAAAGCAAAAAGAAAAATTTACATCTAGATACTGCAAACTTTTTCTAGGTATGTGATGAAAAATCCTCCATTTCACCACTTTTCACACTCTTCCACATTAAAACTATTTTTAAAACAGCTAGAGGTGATCAGTGGTGACAAAATTTGTAATGATAATGCTTGCACTTCTCCCCACACATTCTGACGTTCACCTAAATAAGCAGAGACTGTGAGAAAAAACATGGAGATTTTTGCTGTTGCTGGTATTTGAGATTAGCACTTTTTAGGAATTGAACTGCTCCTAAGGTATTTAGTTACCAATACCACTTTGAGTGCTTAAATTTTTTTTTAATCATATGAGAACGCTTAGTAAAAACAATGCCTGAGAAATACCTTTTAAAACTAAGTGTATTCTTCAGAAATGTCCTTTTTGAACCCTAAGAACACAGCTCCATAAGAAGTTTGAAAGACCTATCTGATCACACTTAGCAGGAAACTAGCTCACCTGTCTAAGCACACAGATGTCCAAGAGTCTTAGGAAAAAAACACCCTAATGTTTTTGCACAGAACCCATGAAAACAATATCTGGGTTTTTTTTCCCTCTGAAAGTAAAATATTTAATCACAGTATAACTGTTCGCTGTTCATCACAGAAACAACAATCATACGGTTTACTTATCTGACACATAAGATCATCTTCAAAATTACTGTCCAAAAAGTGTTGCTCATTAGAGACCTGACTTAGAAAAACTACACTGAAGTCTTCAGCATTAGCTTTTCTGAGGCACAGTTCTAGATTTCTTAACATTTTCACTCTACACCATTCTAATACTTGGCTCAGGTGAAAAACACTTCTGCATATTTTGAACTGGCTTCAACTGCATAGACTTTTCTCGCTCCAGCCTGCGCTGCAAAAAATGAAAGGATTCTTGATCCGCAGCCAACTTCTAGGCCCACCTTGAAAACAAAAGACAGAACAAAAGAAAGAAAAAAATCAAAAAGTCACTTCCTGACACCTCTTTTAAATAACTAAATTTTCATAGCTGTACCCTGCATTTAGTAAGACTAGCATTATGCAAAAATATTACTAATTTCACTTGAAAAAGTGAAAAGGCTTGTTAATGAAGAGTTTTAATTCCCTTAATCTTTATTTTAGCAGCAACAGCATATTTTTTAAAGACTGCAAATTATTTTCATGTGTAAATACATGGTTACGGTTTGGAGGAAATAGATTTTTGTAACAAAGTGTCTTCAGGAGAAAAATTTGAAAAACAAGCATAGTCTGAATACACTGGGGAGGGAGGGAGGGAAGGAAGATACGACAATAATAATTCTTTGAAGGACTGCAGAACTGTGTCTTTCTGAAAGAAAAATCACCCTGTGATGTGGAAGTATCTTGGATAAAACCAAACTGTGTGACTTTGTTCAAACATTGGTTCTGCTTTCTGACCTTAGTATTAGACGTTGAATTGCACTGCTTGATGTGGTGTCTCTCAAAGGCCCTCAGTTAAACAAAAATCCCAAAGCCTCCTTTTCTCCATCAGTCAGGTGGCTTATTTGCTGCAAGCCAAAATGTTGACTGAAATATTTCAAAGAGTCCAAAAATTTGTTTCAATGTATAGTGTAATGCAAAGCCAGTGACTGCTGCAATGGTCTAGACAAGCCTCTAGCTCCTAGGTTCGTTCTGTTGTCCAGGTCACTCAACGCTGCTGCAGAGGTGGAAGCACATGGAAAGAGAGCCTAACCACTGCAGAAACGGTTAAGATGATGTGACTGATGTGATCTTTGACGCAAAGCCTACTTTCATACTGCCCAACAGAATTAGGCTAATACCAGTACCTTGCTTCCCCAAATTTTTAATACCAGCTTTGAGAAAAATCTTACAAAACAGCTCGCCAGTCGCGTTCCTCCTATGGGTTTGTGCTTGACTGAAAATAAGAAGCGACAGTTTTCCTGTCCCTGTGGCTGAAATTCTCATTAAATTTTGATCCAAAATATCAAATTCACAAGCCCGTTAGGTGATTTAAGCCACTTCGAACTGGAACCTCCTAAGATTTCACAGCACTTCAACCATGAAACTGAGCTACAGCCCTGATCCAGTCTCAAGAGACAAGAGTGGACAATCTTGAATATAATACACATTCAGAGCAATACTGCAGCTTAGTATACCACCAGCTATCCCTGTTCTTTATTGCTTCTCTGCTCAAACTTCCCATATGATGCGCATTGCTTACCAGCCTTTAAAAACACAAAGAGAAAATTCTGGGTATTCAAACAGAATAGTTTTGACAGAAGAATAATCCCCCTAGAATGAGGGGCACATTCCACTCCCCAAAAGTTAGTCTACATGACATTTACGATATGTATGAAAGAATGCAGTCTAACACACATGGTTTGATTATGTTGTAGATAATACAAACCTGTGTTACAAAATCACTTCACTGCAAAATAAATTAACATTGCTTCTGATACTGCACATAGTCTCCAGTTTGATGTAGAAGCCAGCACCTTGCCTTTAATAATTATCTTTCCTAGTGAAAGATTTAATTAAGCTCATTGTTTGTGTAATAAATGACTGGTGATCAGTTTTTGATTATATACTTTGGCAGGTGTTAGAATATGCTCCTATACCCAGAAGAACCAACTTTTCAGAACAGCAAGTGACAGTAAGTATCGGCTACGTAAGTAGGGAGGGAGACAAGGACAAGTCAAGGCCAATTTAAGCGAATCATAGGTCTGCCAGAAGGTTTGGTAGGCTATTTCTCAGTACCCAATGGGAACCACAAATACAATAATGCTTTCTCTCTGCATACATGGAAAGTGTAACGAAGAGTCAACTGCTCAAGTTCAACATAAAAAATCCAATAGAGTAGTACAGCTTTTTTCACCAGACCTAATTTTGATGCTATTTCTTACATTACACCTGTGTCTACATCAACATCAAGCTGCATTGGAATATTTTTTTCTGGATTATTTAGTAAGACTAACTCTAGTCTGATTTTCTTCTAGCTTAGTCCAGTTCAATTTCATCCAAAATTAATCCAGCTTGCTTACTCTGAGACCACTCCACTATGTAAACTGAAGCATCCTGAGTGGCCATGATAGAAATGCACTTCAGAAGCTCACTCCTGACCCACAGTAAAACGCTAATGAAGACACAAATGAGCGCAGCAAACTGAAGCAGCTGACACAGAGGCAGCATTTGTCCAGTGATTAGTGAAACAAGGGAAAAAGGGGCTCAGAAATCATATGTGACACAGTATGGGCATTGCTGGAGGCTGCACAACAAGCCATAGGCATGCCCTATGAGACCTGCTAGGTCAACAGCCCTTGGCACGCCAGAGACCTTGATCTAAGAGAGAACATGTAAGGGAGGATACTGCTGTGTGGGTGCTGGGCTGCATGGAATGGCTGATGGCTCTCCCTGAGGCTGGGATCGGTGGTGACCTCTGGGGGAGGTGGGCTCTGGCTGGGGAGAGCCACCAGGTATGAAGCAATGGGTTGAGAGGAGCAGACTGTGAACCACCGGGAAGGGTGGACAGGAGACAGTCAGGATCTTCTTCACAGACACTTTTCAGAGGCAAAAGCCCTGAGCATCAACACCTGGCTGTGCAGTTGGTATCATAGACAGAAATTCAGCTTTTATGAGTGCAGTACCTTCCTGAGGAATGAACACTGCCTGGGAGAGATAGGACCATCTAAAAAAGTGGGGCAAGAGAATTATAGAATCATAGAATCATAGGTTGGAAAAGACCTCAAAGATCATCAAGTCCAACCATCTGCACAACACCACCACGCCCACTAAACCATATCCTGAAGTGCCGTATCTACACGTTTTTTAAACACCTCCAGGGACGGTGACTCAACCACCTCCCTGTGCAGACTATTCCAATGTCTGACCACTCTTTCAGTAAAGAAAGTTTTCCTAATATCTAATCTAAACCTCAGCTATTGCTTCTCATCCTATCGCTAGTTACCTGGGAGAAGAGACCAACACCTGCCTCACTACAGCCTCCTTTCAGGCAGTTGTAGAGAGTGTTAAGGTCCCCCCTCAGCCTCCTCTTCTCCAGACTGAACAGCCCCAGTTCCCTCAGTCGCTCCTTGCAAGACTTGTTCTCCAGACCCCTCACCAGCCTCGCTGCCCTTCTCTGGGCCCAAAACCAACCCCAGTCCCCCAGGTGCGGCCTCACCAGTGCCAAGTAGAGGGACACGATCCCCTCCCTGCTCCTGCTGGCCACACTATTCCTGATCCAAGCCAGGATGCCGTTGGCCTTCTTGGCCACCTGGGCACACTGCTGGCTCATGTTCAGCTGGCTGTCGACCAACACCCCAAGGTCCTTTTCCGCTGTGCAGCTTTCCAGCCACTAGTTTGCCTCGGCCCATCGATCCAGTCTGTCCAGATCCCTCTGCAGAGCCTTCCTATCCTCAAGCAGATTGACACTCCCAACCAGCCTGGTGTCATCTGCAAACTTACTGAGGGAGCACTCAATCCTCTCATCCAGATCACTGATGAAGATGTCAAACAAGACCGGACCCAATACTGAGCCCTGGGGAACGCCACTCGTGTCCGGCCGCCAGCTGGATTTAACTCCATTCACCACCACGCTCTGCGCTCGGCCATTCAGCCAGTTCTTTGTCCAGCGAAGAGTACACCCATCCAAATCATGGGCAGCTAGTTTCTCCAGGAGGATGTTGTGGGGAACAGGGTCAAAGGCTTTACTAAAGTCCAGGTAGATGACATCCACAGCCTTTTCTTTGTCCACTAGGTGGGTCACCTGGTCATAGAAGGAGATCAGGTCGGTCAAGCATGACCTGCCTTTCATGAACCCATGCTGGCTGGGTCTGATCCCCTGGTTGTCCTTCACGTGCGCGGTGAGCGCATTCAGGATGAATCGCTCCATCATCTTACCTGGCACCAAGGTCAGGCTGACAGGCCTGTAGTTCCCGGGATCCTCCTCCTTCCAGCCCTTCTTGTAGATGGGTGTTACGCTGGTGATCCTCCAGTCATGTGGGACCTCCCCTGTTAGCCAGGACCGCTGATAGAGTATGGAGAGTGGCTTGGCCAGCAGCTCTGCCAATTCCCTCAGCACTCTTGGGTGGATCCCGTGTGGCCCCATAGACTTGCAAGTGTCCAGGTTGCGTAGCGGGTTGTTAACTGCTTCCTCCTGGATCATGGGAGGTTTGTTCCACTCCCCTTCCCTATCTTGCAGCACCGGGGGCTGACTACTGTGGGAGTAACCAGTCTGACTATTAAAGACTGAGGCGAAGAAGGCATTAAGTACCTCAGCCTTTTCCTCACCCTTGTTGGCAATATTCCCCCCTGCATCCAATAAGGGATGGAGATTCTCCTTGTCCCTCTTTTTGTTGTTCATGTATTTGTAAAAACATTTTTTGTTGTCCCTGACAACAGTGGCCAGCCTGAGTTCTAGCTGGGCTTTTGCCTTT